GATCATAGCGTGGCTGTCTCTCTGCTGATCCCAAAACAGCCTTCCCCACCCTGCTCCTGACCCTCTGCCTCCACTTCCCCTCTCCCCATCATTTTGTCCTCCCCTTGGAATCTGGCACCTGCCCTCCCCACTGGGACTTGTCCTCTCAAAGGCCACTCAACAGCAGTAGCCTTTCCTTACCTGGTCACCTTCCTTTAAGGCTCTGCTCCCTGCGGGCTCCTGGTTCGCCACCCAGCTCCCTGTAAATAGCCTCTTCTCTCTTGGGTCCCCTGGGGTCCTTCACCCATGCCCTTCCTGGGGGAGCTCCCAGAGGGTCCTCTTCTTCCTCAGCAACCTCACCCACTGCTTGGCCTCGAAATACTAAGGAAGTCTTAGTCTTGTTCAGATGCCTCCTAGATCTCCATGACTTCTCCTCTGAGTTGGGGCATTGCAGTAGAAAGATCATTGGATTTTAGGGTTCAAAGACATTTAACCTCCACAAGCCTCAGTTTCCCCATTTGTAAAACAAAGGTATCAAACTCAATGGCCTCTTAGAACTGTTCTAGGTCTGGATCTCAGGTCCTAGGACCCATCTCTGACAATTTATAGGACATGCATTCCCACCTGGCTGACCACTGCCACCTCAAAGTCCACACAGCCAAATGAGTTTATAACCTCTCTCTCCCTTAGGGTTTCTGCTCATGGCAGCACCATTTGGCCAGACTCACACGTCCTCTTCTCGGGCCAGTTACTGCTTCTTTCTTCTCCTCTCCCCTGTAATCAGTTACCCAGACCTGGCAGCTTCACCTGCCTATTTCAGGCACCCTCCCCTCTCCATTTCTAAGACTTCCACCTGCCATATTCTCACCTCCCCATTGCCCCTTCTGATCCATCCTTCACACTGATACCAGATTCACTGTCCTTACATAGAGATTCTGCTCATGTCGATCCACTGTTTAGAAATCTGCTCTGGCTGCCTACTGCCTCCTGAGTAAAATTCACACCCCTTGGCCTGGCATTCGAGGCCCTTTACCTTCCTAGCCTCATTTTTCCCTTCCCCTATAAACTCCTCACATTTGACCTTGGAATGCTCTTGCTTTGTTTTAATTCCCACTCATCTTTAATGTCCAAGTTGAGTGTCCGCACTCCAGGAAACCTTCCCCAGTCCTTATCTCCTCCTTCTCTTCTGGAGCTCAAAGCACCTTCTTCAGTTAACTCTTGTTAACTGTACACATCCCATCTTATTTTGGATGACACCTGTCTGCCTTGCTCTGAGGCATTTGGGGAGTAGTATGGTAGCAGTATCAGACTTGGGCCTTTAACCAGGCTGCTTGGCTGGCTCATGCCTGGGACAGGCACATTTGTCAAACTTCGGGAAATGTTTGTCCTCCAAACTTGTAAAGGAAGTTTTAGACTGTAAGCTCCATGAGGGGAGGGACGGGATGGAGCATATCTAACCTTTGTTTCTTCCCCAGAATCTGTTCTTAAGAAATAGAGTAAATCAATCAATGGCCATTTGTTAAGCACCTACTGCATGCCAAGTTCTGTTCTAGGTGACGGAAGTCCAAGAACATCAACAGAGCAGCCCAGGCCTCAAGGACCTACCAATCTATTGAGAGGCAATAAGCCACACACAGCTGCAAGTTAATTTTGTGAAAGAGGGTCTTAGCAGATAGGGGGAAACCAGGAAACTCTTCCTGCAGGAGGCCATGTTTGAGTAGAGTTTGAAAGGAAACTAGGCATTCAAAAGGCAGAGACAAGGAGTGATGGCATGCTAGGTATGAGGGACAGCCAGTGCAAAAGCCTGGAGGTGAGAGATGGAGATCATCAAGCAGTCCAGCTTGGCTGCACTGAAGATGGTATGTAATAAAACTGGAGTCAGGTTATAAAATGCTTTAAAAGGCAAGCAGAGTTTACCTTTCATCTTGGAGGTAATAGGGAGTCATTGGAGTTTGCTGAGCAGGGGACTAACGTGGTTGGGCTTGTGTTTTAGGAGGGAGGCTGGGCTTTATGGGCTTCAAAGCCCTTTCCTCATCCTCTGCCTCACCTGTTAAAGGGCACCATGCCACCCATCATTTTCCACCAGTCTGTTTCATTCCAGGAATTAGTATAATTGGCTCCAAAGGTCCCAGGTGGGAACTGATGGGATAAAGTGGACCCGGAGGGCTTGCAGGGGCCAGATTCAAGCTTCATTAATGGCTCGGGGCAGCCTTGAGGGCAGAAGCCAGCTCTGTGCTCACTTCTCTGCCTTCCCAGGAAGGCCTCTGCCCTGCTCCTGGGCCTGCCTGCCAGTCACCCAAGAGGCGACATCACTGATCCAGGAAACGGGGTGGGGCTCGTGCAAAGCTCAGAGTCTGGAAGACAAACACATCCCAAACTTTGACAAACGTGCCCATCCCAGGCACGAGCCAGCCAAGCAGCCTCTTAAAGGCCCAAGTCTACTCCCAAATGCCTCAGAGCAGCAAGGAGTCCTGGGGTCTCTAAGACTGACCCAATGAAACCCACGCTGGATATAATGGGCCCAATAGGCTCTATGCCTATCATGTGAGCACACCAGCCTAGCTAAGGTGGGAGAGGCTCATTGCCAAAAGCCTGGCCACCAGGAGATGAGTACTGGGGGTGACAACAATTCCAGAGGGCCATCCACTAACTTTCCCGGCTTAGCACCCACCTCCTGCTCCCCTCTGCTCCACTCAAACTGGCTTATTTCTTGTGTAAGACATTGCATCTCCACTCTTTTGCCTCTGGTTCAGGCTGTTTCCTATAGCCAGAATGGGCTCCCTCTTCACTTCGGGCTCATTAGGCGGCTGTTGGGTGTTTTTTGGGGGAAGCCCTTGTATCCCCAGAACAGCACACATGTGGTAATACTTGTTGTTGGCCCAGTATGAACACGCAGAGATGAGATCACAGTAATCAATGAGAGCTAGAAAGTCTGTAAGTCAGCAGGCCACCTATCACATACCAGGCACTGGGGATACAAAGAATGGCAAAAACCAGCCCCTGCCCTCAGGGAGCTCCCAGTCTAAGGGGGGAGATGACATGCAAACAACCATGTAAAAACAAGAGAGATGGGATGAGCTGGAAGAAGTTTCAAAAGAAAGGCATTGATGGGGCAGCTGGGTGGTACAGTGGGTAGAGCACCGGCTCTGGAGTCAGGAGGACCGAGTTCAAATCCAGCCTCAGACACATAACACTTACCAGCTGTGTGACCCTGGGCAAGTCACTTAACCCCACTGCCTAGCCAAAAAAAAAAAAAGCATTGAGATGAAGGAAGATTGGAAGGGCTTCTTACAGATGGTGGAAAGGAGGAAGTATGGTGCAGGTGAAAGAGACCATGTGTTGGAATTTGTCACCTCCTGGCTGTGTGACCTTGGGCAAGTCACAGCCTTCAATTTCCTCCTGGGTAAAATGAGGAATCTTCCTTTCATGACCTCTTAGGGCCCTTCCAGCTGGAAATCTATGAGATTAAGGTCATCTCATCCATACTGCTCCCCCTCATTCCCAGAGAGATTAAGTGCCTACTGCGTGCCAGGTAATAAGTATACAAAGCCAAAATAGAGGCCACAATTCAAAGTGCCGAAGCCAGGTAATGGATAGAAGGACTGGCCCCTAGCAAGGTATTCAGCATTCAGCCATCCCATTTCATCAGGCCCACCCCCACCCCCACCAAGTAAGGCAGTCCTGGGCTGGGTTAAATGGGCCAGGGAGAAAAGACACCACCCCAGAGAGGAAAGGCCTGGGAGCCTTTGCCCAAGACACACAAACAGAAACATACAAAATGACCTATCGTGAACAAGGCAGGAGTTTCCAGGAATGTCTGTCATCTAGCAGCTGTGTCTCTAGAAGGCTTTTCCACACACCTTGTTTTCCATCCATTCCCTAACTACCTTTGGCCCTTAAGGTTTTCAAACAAGAGACCAACGTCCAGCTTTCCCTTAGGAAAGGAAGGACTATCTCTAGCTGGGGAGGGGCTGCTCTCTTCCGCCCCTCTCCAGGTGGAAGCAATAGGAAGAGAAAGAGGGGAGGGAGAGACCTGGGACGACTGTTCTCAGCTAGTTAGGAGGAACGCGAGGAAGCCCCTTCAGAGCTCAGCCCAAAATTAATTAATGGATGGCACGTGCCAATCCACTTGTTTACAGGACAGAAACTTGTGCTTCCGGCTCCCTGTAAACCCTGCACGCCTCTTTCACTAGCTAGGGGCCAGGGCGCCCAACAGAGACCTTGACACTGTACAGGCTTCCGCGCCGCCAAGGCTACGTGGCTGCTTAGGCTAAGGGCAGTGCCGGGCTCAGGAATCCAAATAGCTGTGGGGTGGCAGGATGGAAGCTATAGCCCCCATCTCCACTCCAGATACCCTCCCCTCCCTGGCGCGAGAGCAAGGTCCCACTGGGACACACACAGAGGCCGCTCAGTCTGGGAAAGTACACTCCCCTTCTCTCCCCGCCTCCCATCCCCATGAACCGGGCAGGAAGGCTGCCCTCCCCTAACTCACTGCAGAAGGCGGAGAGCCAGAGGAGTAGGGTCAGGGTGGTGGGACTGGGGAGAGATACAAGGCAAAGAGGGGAGTGGATGGCAGGTGGTGATGGGGGAATTAGCGAGGACCGGGCAGGAGGCTGGACGTAAGGATGCAGCCAGGCATCGGGATGGGAAGGAGGGAGTAGGAAGGGAGGAGCAGCAGGCCAGGAGACAACGTCTCACGCCTACAACAAGGGGGGTACTGGGGCAAGGTCCCAAGGCTAGAGCGCGGGAAGGAATGAGTGCGGCGTCCCATGCTAGGGGCGGAGGTGGAGAACAGGGCAGGAGGGGCAGAGGGCCCTGGAGCTCGGGGTGGGGATCTGAGGCTTAGAGGCGAAGGGGGTCGGAGCCGGTAGAGAGGGAAGCGATTCAGACCTGCAGGGTTTGGGGCGGGGGCGAGGAGTGCTGCGTGTCACTGGAGCAGGGGGTTGGAGAAGGATGCTACAGGTCTACAGTTTACGGGTGCAGGGAGGGTGTAGGCGTGGGCACCACCGGAGGGCACGCACCGTCTGAAGAGGCTCTCCATGTCCTTGATCTGCCGGCGGCTGAACTCTGGGAACTCGGTGAAAGGTTTGAACACCTTGGTGGGCCGGGGCCGCGCCGTGCCCTCGTGGATGCTCTGGCGCCGGTTCAGCTGAGCCTTCAGCTCCGAGTCGGCGTTGGCCGTGAGTTCCTTGGCCGGCGGCTCTTCCCCGGAGGCCGGGAGGCCCCGGCCCCGGCCCCGGCCCCAACTCCGGCTGCGGCTTCGGCTTCGGCTCCCGTCCCGCGCGGGCTCCGTCCGCAACCCGCAGTTCTCCCCGTCGAGGCCGTTCTGCTGCGGCCTCTGGCCAGCCTCGGACTCCTGCTCCAGCCTCAGCCGCCGCTGCAGCTTCAGGGCAAGCTCCTGGGTGGCCATGACCTTGGTGCGCGGTGGCCCGAGCTCGGAGGGGCGCGCGCGCCGCAGCCCTGACGGACGTACAGGCAACCAAACCCTCACCCCTTCCAAACTGCGGCTCAGAACTCTTCTGAGATCCTGGGCGAAGGGGCCAGGCTAAAAGGGAGAGAGGGCGGGCGGGGGCGGGATGGAGGGCGGGACGGAGGGCGGAGCCCCGAGGTCCCAAAACCAGGTCTGATAGACTCTGGGAAGTTGCCCAGAGCCGACATCCCAGGCCGTAAGTTCGAATCCCACTTGGGCTGCCTGGCTTCCTGTGCGCCCATGCGCGAGCCCCTTCTTTCTCTGGGCCTCTCTAGGTCTTTCTCGGTAAACCCAGGGGACTGGATTAAGTGTCATCTAAAGTCGTAACCCCGTTTGCCTCAGTTTGCTCATCTGTCAAATGAGCTGGAGAAGGAAATGGCAAACCAGGCCAGTATCTCTGCCAAGAAAACCCCAAATGGGGTCACGCAGAGTGGAACACGACTGAAAGACTCAGCAGCAACAAAGTCCTCAACCTCCTCCTCCCTCCCGGCCGCCGAGGCGAATGCTCGCCCGAGGGAGGCAGCTGGTGCCATCCATCCCGCCTGCCACCCCCAGGATGCAGAGAACCCAGCGGCGCTGCGGGTGGGGCTTCCCGAGGGTGAGCCTAGAGCCGAAGGGCCTTCAAAGGCAGCCCGTCGAGGCAGTGCTCCTTGCACAGATGAGGAGAGCAAGACCCGGAGAGGTTCAGGGCTGTGCCAAGGGCCGTCCCGGGGCCCCTCTTCCTCAGCCGCAGCCCGACAGCGTCCGCCCCTTTCACCAGGCCCGGGGATCTGGCTTTGCATGACTCCCCCTCACATTCTGCATTCCAGCCAGACGGACCTTCTTGCTACTCTCTGAGACATTCTATCTCCAGCCCGCTTTCCTCCAAGTCTCGGCTGGAGGCCCAGTTTCTGCCACAAGCGACTCTCGTGTCTTCCTCCCCCAGCTGGTAAAGCTGCGCCTTCTCTCAGACGTTATCTTTCCCTTGATCCTGTCTCCATCTCCTATGTGACTCCCCTCAGCTGGGAGCTGCTGGAGGGCTGGAATCTCCTTTTTGCCTTTCTTTGGATCCCCAGCACTCAGCCTAGTGCCTGGCACCTAGCAGGCGCTTAATACACTATTGCTGATGAAGTGATTAGTTAATACCTGTGTAAGAGAGTGTCTCCCCTCGGTCCCCAAGGAGAATGTTGCCTCCCAGAGGACAAGGGGTTGTTTTAATTTTCTTGCTGACCCCACAGAAGAGCACATTGCCTGGCACAAGGTTGGCACTTAAATGCTTCTGGAATCCCATTGAAAGCCGCTCTGGCTTTCTTTCAAAGACCCTAGTAGAACTGGAAAAGGTCAGGAGTACCAAGACCTGAGTTCAACACGGCCTCAGATACTTACCGGCTAGGTGTCTCTGGGCAAGTCATTTCCACATCTCAGAACCTCAGTTTTCTCATCTGTAAAATGGGGCTAGGAAGTAAGCGCTCCTGTCCTTAGAAATGCTAAGTAAATGTTAGCTGTATTGTTCTTTTCATCTCATTCTCATCTTTTTCCATGGGGTTTAGATAAAAATGATCTTGGAACAAGTCACTCTCCATTATTATTTCTTTTCTTCTTCTTCCTTCTTGATTCTTTCTTCTTATTTCAGAGTGCCTGCCTCCTTCCCCCCAGAGGCTGCAGTACAAGTCGTTAGGCTTCCTGTAGGCTGCGTAGGGTGGGAGGGGCTGCTTGTGTTTTCTGTTTGTTTGTTTATTTCATTTGCTTTGCTTTTCCAGCAGAGCAAAGCTCTGTATTCATTTTTTTGTTTTGTCTTTTTTTTTCCTTAGAATTATCCTGTTTTAGTTTTTTTAATAGTCATTGATATTTTATTTTTATATCACCTAAATTTTCCTCTGTCTCCTCCTGCTTCCACAATCCATACCTTATAACAAATAACATTTTAAAGGAAGAAAAAGCAGCGAAACTGATTTAGATGTTGAACAAATCTGCTTCAATCTGCATTGCTCCAGGTGAGTGGAACCCCGCCTCTCCAAAGGAGAGGAGGAGGGGAGGCGTCTTCTCATTTCTCTTCTTGGGGGCCAGCTGGTAATTTCACATTCTTTTTCTTTTTAAATTTTTTTTTTAGTGTGGTTATTTCTTCCATTTAGGCTGGAGTTATTTATTGTATTGGTTGTTTTCTTAGTAATACTTCATTCTGCATCAATTTATGTAACTTTTTCCATGCTTCTCTATATGCATCAAATTATCCCTTTTTCACAGCCCAGTAATCTATCAGGGCTACATATTCTAAACAGAAATGTTATGGGCTAATGAATGCAATATAACGAATATAATAGAAGAGATACAAATTAGTAAGTTTTGCCAACGTTGACATTTGGCAGTTTAATGGTGTGTATGTTGGACAGGTGGCTGCTGTCCAGAACACAACAACATCTTTAAAAAGAGATTAACTTTGATGTCTTCAAGGTAAGCATAGTTACAATTCAGCATTCTTCCCCCACCCCCCAATCAACAGTGAGTTTTTATATACTAACAGTCCTAGTGATATGGAATTAGAAAAGATATTGGAATCAGAAAAACTTGGGTTCAAGTCTCCCTTCTGGCATTGGTCACGACATCCCATCATCCCCAGGGAACCCTCTTAGACTATCCATCAATCAGTCAAGTTGCCTACCTCACCTGGTACTTCTCACGCTGATGAAATTGCTGGTCCAAGCCAATCCAATAAATTAAGCACTTAGTGTGTGTGCAGCACTGTGCTAATTCCTGGGACCAAACAAATTAGTCCAAAACTCTGAGCTGATTTATGGGAAGGCCTAGACCAGTGTAGTAGAGGATGGGCAAGCAGGAGTGGGGTGCTATCTGCAAACTGGAGGGAATACTATCGTCTATGAAGCTGTGCATTCTCTGCACTAGAACAGCCCTTTATTAAAGAAGACTGAAGCCATCAGCTGAATCAACAATTAAAAGTATAAGCTGCTGGTCATAAATGGAATCTCACCATGATAATTACATGGAACAATAAAGGCTTTTTTAATCTCTTCAAGAGTTGAAAGTGTTTCCCATGCCATTATCCCATGATCTAATTTATTCCAACAGTATTCCTTGGAGATTGAGGGAGACCATCCCCTACCCTGGGAAAAAGGAAGCTAAGTGTCTTACCTGAAGATCACACAGCAGAGCAGGGTTTCTCTCTGTCATCCCCAGGCTGAAGGAGCACAGGACCAAATGATCTTGCAAATGTGGTTTCCATTGCATCAATACCTACTGAGTATCTTGAGTGAGGAGAGGTAATATGGTCTAGGGGATGGCATGCTGGACTGGGAGCCAGGAAGACCTGGGTTTGAATCCCACCTCAGATACTCTGGGCCAATCATGTTCACCTCTCAGAACCTCATGTTTCTTATCTGTAAAATGGTGATAAAGATGGCAGCAACCTAACTTCCCAGGCTTGTTTTGAGTGGATGTAATTCAATTCAGTAAACATTTATTAAGTACTTAGGGTGGGCCAGACATTGTGCTAATATTTCAAACCTTAAAGGGCAGTATAAATGTTGGTTGTGATTGTTTGCTAAGCACTGGGAGGAGTATTCAATGTGTAAGACAAGGTCAACATTTGGGCGGAAAATAAGCAGTCCCTCAAATGGATGTAAAAAATTGTGGTCAGTGCAGTGAGAGTCGTCTAAACAGAGGCCTCTTTAGGAGTTAGAAAAGTCTCACAGGTTTCCAGCTAGAAGAGACCACAGAGGCCACCTAGTCCAAACCCCTCATTTTACAGATGAGGAAACTGAGGCAAATTGGGGTAAGTGACTTGCCCAGTCACATAGCTAGCTAGGAGGTGTCTGAAGTCAGATTTGAACTCTTTGAGTCTTCCTGATTCCAAGCCCCTGCTCTGTGCACTATGGCGCCCTGAAGTGAAGTGATTCATGGCTAAATTTACAAGCTATTCATCATGGGAATTGTTGTTTTCTTAGGTTTAAAATCTCTGCATTTGTTGAAAAGTGCTGCTGTTTGCACCTCCCTCTGTGTTGAATCAGTCAGCATTGTTATAGGGTGCTCATTATTAGAGGGCTATATAGGCCAGTGCCTTCCTTGTCTCCTTTTCGTCTTGGGTTGGGATCAAAGCTTGTTTTAGGAATTATGAGTCCCAATATGGCTTGCCTAGAATACGAGGAGGATGCAAGCCACTTACTTCAATAAGCCTTAAGAGCTACTGTGTGTCAGGCACTGTGGAGACAAAGACAAAAGGAAGTCCACCCCTGCCCTCAGGGAGCTTACTGTCCACTGGAAGGAAACAATATGCAAACAGATAAATGAATGCAAAACAGAGAGAAAGAGCCCAGGAAATCCCTTAGAGGAAGAGGAGGGGAGGCACCGATGACATGGCAACCACAGAAGGGTTCCTGTAGGAGGTGGCACTTGGGCAAAGTTTTGAAAGGAGTTGGAATCCAGGAGGTGGTGGTGGGGAGGAAGAGCATTTGTGCACATGACAGCTTGGAAGCGAAGCGGGGGGGGGGGGGGGGGGGGGGGGGGGGGGGAGGTAAATAGGCCATTTGGCTAAAACACAGAGTACATGTGGACGGGTAACATGAAACTGGTTTGGACAGATCAGCTGGAGCTAGATTGTGGAAGGCTTTAAATGTCAGGCGGAGGAGTCTGTATTTGATCCTAGAGGTGATAGGGAGCCATGGAAGGTTCTTGAGCAGGGGAGTGATATGGTCAAACCTGGGTCTAAAACTATTACTTTAGTGGCCCTGTGGCCTCAGGCACTAGCTCCATGACCCTGGGCAAGTTACTTCACCCTGTTTGCCTCAGTTTCCTCATCTGTAAAATGAGCTGGAAAAGGAAATGGCAAACCACTCCAGTATCTCTGCCAAGAAAACCCCAAATGGGGTCACGGACAGTCAAACACGACTGAAAAATGACAAATGTTCAAGCTCATTGCTAGATGTTTGGGAATACAAAGACAAAAGTGAATCAGTTCCTTCCCACAAGGAGCTTACATTCTCTTAGGGGAGAGGAGAGGAACTTGGACACTCACTTTGTCCTGCTGGGCTCACTTTCTCCTTTGTAAAATGAGGT